GCTGTCGTCATAAAGCAAGTCCTTCTAAGCTATCTTACACCTCTCTTTCTTTCTCTATCTTTTGCGTAGCGCAAATATATGTAGAGAATACTAGATTCTATGCCTCTAGGTAAGTAAGATATACACAACAAGTAAAAAGTAGAACATAGTAAAAAGAAAGTTGCAAAAAAGAGCAAAAAAGCATCTTCTATCCGAAGATAGAAGACGACGTCTAACCATTGCTGATTTTTCGTTTCTGGACATTATTGTCTGTTGTATCCTTCAAGGGTCCACATGTTCCTAAAGGCAGACTAGGGAATCGAACAAGGCACCTTGGGTGAGTTGGGTCTGGACCGATTAACCATTCGGAAGCCGTTAATATTGTGGTTGCGGGCTTCTGTCTTTGGTCGTTCCTCTCGAACTTCAGCCAAGGCGGCTTGTTGATGGAAGATTGGGGATTTGAGTGCTATATATTGGGGGAGATGGTGTGGAGTGTGGGGTGGGACCTGGGATGGAGTGAAGGCGCGTTTGGAGGCGAGTGCGCAGGTGCCTGGTGAGAGCGCTGCGTGCGCGGGTGTGCGCGTTTGCATTTTGAGTGTTTGTTGTGCGATGGCGGAGGGTCGGGGCGCCGGCGGAAAGCGAGAGTGATGGTGGTGAGAGTGATGACGAGCTTAGGGGAGACGCTCGCACTGCTCGATGGCCGTTTGCCAGAGCGAAGGTCTATCACTACTGCGGGGTCTCGAGCAAAGGGCGGAGGCTACGTCGTGTATCCCAAAAGTAATGGCAATGCGTAGCTACTGCGGAGGTACTAAGCGTTAGCTACGAGGCCTTTGACGAGTATGAACTCACTTGTGGCGCGACTCCGAGCTGTGATGACCTTCTACACTCGAGCCACAACTTGAAGCCGATGAGTTCGCATAATGAAGGAGCAGAACTAGATGACCAAGCGCACATGTATGATGATGAGGAGGGTCAAGATAAGAATTGGAACGATGAGTGAGACAAGTATTCGGTGAAATGATGAGAACAACAATCAAGATCACCAGTTGCGCAATGTGAAAGAAAAATACTAGGAATTCACCAAGAAAGAGAAATGAAACATATCTTACATAACGCATTCCAGGTCTTAAGTCTACGGCATGCATGGCTAAAAGGTCATCCTCTCATTTGGTGGTTTGTCCCCGCTCTTGCATTTCCTGCATCTTCCGCTGCGTCTCCAACTCGAACGCTTGCTTCTTCAATACATCAATCTTATCGTCAATTACAGCGATCTGCGCCTCGACCCGGAGAAGCTTTTCTTGCATCATGTTCTCGTAATCGTCATCGGTCAAGACTTGCATAGGACTCCACTTGCTCTTTGCAATCTTTTGCATAAAGTTCTCCTTGGGCTTGGCTTCACCTCTCGCTCGTTCCTGGATCTCGCTGGAGTTTTTGGCGTCGAGGTAATTGTACCCATGTTGTCCTACCCAGCCGAACAGAGTAAACATGATGGTACCCGGAATGACATTCCGAGGGCCGCGAAAGAGGAGGCCGAGGTTGAAACCAGTCAGTCCACCAGCAAGGGCTGACGCGCGAACCTTGTCAGACGTGGTTGGGTTAAGGTCGGTGCGAGGATAGACGGGTGCCCCGCGAGTGAGGTTCCACCAGTTCAGTAAGCCAGCGTGGTTGAGGACTGACGTGCGGATGCCCCAGAACGTGCTGCCAATGGCGAACCATTGCGCTCCTGACACGATGGAGAAGAGAACCGGAGTTTGCGTGCGGATAGTACCGTAGAAGGCACCAATCACAGTACCAGGAACAGCTGGAGCAGGTTAGGCAAAATTTATGAGGTGAGAAAAAGCTGACAAGACAACGATTACGCAGAAGTGAGATGGAAGCGCACGACTACACTGAAGCGAGACTACGTGGAGTGGTGAAAAGACCATGTGCGTACCTGAGGCTCCGCCAATATAGAGGGCTTGCCGGGCAACCTCGAGGGGCTGCGTGACCTGGTCTGGGTCATGTTTGGCTTTCATCGCTCTTTCATGGGGGCTGAAGGTCGTGAACCAGATTCGGGTAATGACAATGCAAGGTTCGCTCGCCGCCGTTGGAAAAGCAAAGGCGCTGACTAAGCGAGGCCCAACGAACGCACAGCCTGAGCTTAAGATTTCCGTTCGGGAAAGTCTCAAGAACTCACCCCACACACGCTTCAACCACAGACCCCGCAACCACCAAGACCACACCCGAGAGCAAGAGACCGCTCTCCAGACCCGAATCAGACAGCGCGCCGAATCCACTCGCGCACAGTCTGCCAAACCGCAATCATGGGTACGTCGCCGTGGTGCGCACGCAAATTGCAGGCGTCACTCGAGCCGGCTTTTTTGCCCCGCTCTGTACCGCGCCCAAAACAAGAAGCCATGGCTGACGATGTGTTGTAGCGCCCAAGAAGAAGCAACAGACCATGGGCCTGGGAGAATTCCTAAATGACCAATGTACGCCCCGCCTACCTGCCCCCGAGCGCGCAGACGACTGACATGTAGCAGCGCTAGGATCATGGGCCGACGAAATGGAGGACGCGCCAATGCCTGGTGAGTGACACGCATTCTGCTTAGGGAGTGGCCCCGTGTACTAACGTTTGCAGGAGCCGGTAATACACCCCACCAGCTGTCGCAGCGCGAACATGCACATGACGGAAGACTGACACATTTTTAGGTGCCGGTAGAAGCTCTGGCTATGGCGGCGACAGGCCTACCTTTGGCTCTGGCGGCGGCAGCGGCTTCGGTGCTGACCGCGCTGGCAGCTACGGTGAGGAGAGCATACTTACACGCATTCGCATATACTAACAACTCCCCAGCCGACCGTGGATTCGCAACTCGCGAGGCGCTCCCCATGCCCTCCAAGCCCCCGTACACTGCCCACCTGGGCAACCTCTCCTTCGATGCCACCGAGGGCGACGTGACCGACTTCTTCGCCGACTGCGAGGTGACCAACGTGCGCATCGTCGAGGACAAACTGGACCGAAAGCCCAAGGGTTTCGGCTACGTCGAATTTGGCAGCGTTGATGGACTGAAGAAGGCGCTTGACCTGTCCGGCACATCTTTCCAAGGCAGGAATATCCGTGTCAGCGTCGCTGAACCCCGTACGTTATGTGTTTACAGGATGCACGCAAACGATTACTGACAAGTCACAGCCAAGGACCGCGAAGAAGCCCGCGTCATCACAGACTGGACCCGAAAGGGACCCCTCCCTGATCTACCCGGCCAACGCAGTAGCTCCGGACGCGGCGGCTTCGGCTCGGGCCGTGACCGCGCTTTCGACGCAGGATCTGACGCCGGCAGCGAGCGTGGTGAGCGTCGCCGCCCACCTCCATTCGAGAGCGACGGAAAGCCTCGCGACTTTGGCAACTGGGAGCGCCGAGGACCCCTTTCTCCATCCGCTGCACCTCCCCCCAGCGAGGGCGGCCGCACCCGAGGTGGCTTCGAAGGAGGTCCCCGCGAGGGCCGCCGACAGTCCCCCGCCTGGGGTGAGGGTCAAGGCACTGAGGGCTCTCGTGGGCCCCGCCGTGAGTTCCAGGAGCGACCGCAATTTGAGAGGCAGCCTACTGCGGCAGACAATGACAACCAGTGGCGATCCAAGATGCGCCCCGATGCGCCTATCAAGTCGCCAACATCCACACCCGACGCTAGCACGCCATCATCACCCGCACCGCAGGCCGCTGCACCCGCCGGCCGCCCTCGCTTGAACCTGGCCAAGCGAACCGTCTCTGAGGCTCAACCAGCTCAAGACGCGTCCACTCCCTCGGACAAGCCCAACCCATTCGGTGCCGCCCGACCCATCGACACCGCTGCTCGTGAGAAGGAGATCGAGGAGAAGAGGCAACTTGCTTTGCGCCAGAAGAAGGAAGCCGATGACAAGGCGCGCGAGGAGAAGAAGGCCAAGGAAGCCGCGGAGAAGCCAGCGCCCAAGGACTCAGCACAGCCAACGCCGACAAAGAAGGAGGAGAATGATAGCGAGGAGAAGCCCAAGTCCAACTTCGAGATCCTCCAACGGGTGGACGAGGGCAACTCTGCCGGCCAGGATGAGGATGCCGAGGGAGAGATTGTACACGACAAGGACGTCAAGCCGCAAGAAGTCACTCGCGACCCACCGAAGGCTGAACAAGGCTCATGGAGGCGGAAGTCCAGCACAGCTGCGGCCCCTGAAGGCACTACTACCGAGGTCATGGACGACGATGGCTGGAGCACTGTCACCAAGCCCACCAAGAACGTTAAGAACAACCGCCGAGGAGGCGGAGGTGCCCCGGCCCGCGCCATCGCGTCTTAGGTGGACGTATCAATATTGAGACTAGCCCCGATGCTGTATCTGGGATGAACGCAACGCATATCCGACGGCGTGGTGGCGTCCTTTGTGTTTCTGGCTTTGCTGTTTATCACAGCTTTTTTTGTTCGGCGGTTTTCCCATATTGTTGCATCACTGCACAATCATCGTCCTTTCGACAGCCCTGTTCATCCGAGCGCGATTTGCAAGGCGTCCGTGGCTGGACTTGGGACGTTTTACGAGCTTCTTTCTGCATGCCCCTTACGATGCCGTTCCTTGGCGCTGCTCGTTTCCAAAAGTATTGGTCGCCCTCCTAGACCTTCCACATCCGGTAAATATAGGATATGCCATATTTTCGATCATCTCCCCTCGCCATCAGTGTGTCTGTTGTTGTGGCCCAGCCAAGCTCTCTCGTTGATGGATCTGTGTTAGGGAACTAAAGGGATGGTATGCACCGGCATGTATTTAGCTGCAACAAGAATCTCGAAAGTATCTACACTCCAATGTTTGACGCACGTTTGCGATGATGCGGTTCATTACTGTGATGTGCATGTGAAGTTCGTTGAGGGTCTGACAGGGGTGGGTCGTTGTCAAGGGTTCAAGCATGCAGACCATGGTTCGAGTTGAGACTAGGAAATATATTCTTTGGTCGTGGTCATCATGCCTTGTTATAACCACAATTCTGGAATTAGGAAACAAAAGTCATCCACACTATGCCTAGCACTATGGTCATCGAGAATATTCAGGGCCATGATGTCTCGGAAGAGATGATCGCTCAAGCGGCTGAGCTCTTTTCCTCTGACTATGGAATCTGGGGTCCTCTTGCTGAAGAGAAAATGGGCACATTTGGCAGATTCTGCAAGCCGGGTTTGTACATTATGTTCTCTCGCCGATGATCACAATGCTAATACCCTTGTAGGACGCCCCGTGAAGATGTCGAAAACCCGCCTTCGTGAGCAGTCTCTTGCTCCGGGAACTGACAGCGTTCTGGTGCGCGCTACGGTCGACAGCAAACTTGTAGGACACGCCTTTGCAACTTTCTGGGACTATGAGGGCCGCAAAATCGGCTGGATCACTCAACTATGTGTCGGTCGGGATTTCAGGCGCAACGGGCTGGCTACAAAGGTTTGTCTTCACAAGAACTTTTGACCTTCGCCAGCATTCACTGAACCTTACAGATCTTATTCCATTTGCGCGAAAACGAGCACGACCGTAGTTTCGGAATTCTCTCTTCTCATCCTGCTACTATCCGTGCCACTCTGCGAGCCTTCGGACATGGGATCGAGAAGGTGGATTTGAGCGGGATCAAGGAGCTTGTACCAGCCATTATGAAGTCATCCCCAGTTCCTTACGTCAAGATGGCTAGACCTACGGGCTCCTTGTTTGATCAGGGTGATCAGACAGGTGCTGTTTGCTGCGCTGACACTGCATTCTGGGTTGATCATGCTGAGCCCCTGGCTGCGCTGAATGTCATCAAGGAAGACGGTATAAAGTGGCCGTTTGGAGACTTGCCTGACGGCTGCGAGTTCTTGGCCTTTGTCAGTAGATCTTCTGTTACATGACGCTGCAGTCTACAACAACACACCATGTCGAAGACATGGCGGCCCCCAGGGTAATGTAGGCTTCTGGGTTGTCGATGCAGTGGTATACTGCTTCGAATGCGCCCGTTGTAGCAGGCTAGGAGGAAGAAAACCGCTAAAAATGTCTGGTCCTTTCCCTTGCATGTGGTGCAGCGATACTAACGTCTAGTCGATCGCCGTTGACGTGCCGCGAACAGGGTTCACGACGCAGGATCCCGGTACGTGCGCCACAATACGTCAGATGTGCTCGGCCTGTGTCCAACTTCGATATCTTGCTTTGGCGGCGATCGCCTACGCTATCACTTTCCTTTTCGTGTCTTGCGATGCATATAGTGTTTCATTCCAATTAGTTGATCTAGGAAATCGACACGTCAATGGGTGTTGCCCCAATTCGTCATTATACAAACCAAGCGGAAGCGTACCATAGACACGACGCGCGTTGTTAGGGGTTTGGCGCATAGCATTCCTGGGCTCAGATAGAGGGGACATCTTCACACAATGGCGTCGAAGCCATCATCACCGGGACCCAATGCGACGCCTGCAACGCCAGCCAAGCAGGCACGATCCAGGAAGGCTGCTACCCCAAGTCAGACTGAACAGGGAAGAGCAGGGTCCGCAGGCGGAGTCGTCTTGCCAAAAGAGCCCGCTACAAAGGCTTCAGCATCATCAGCAAAGAAGGCTGCAGCAACACCAAGCACAGATGACGTTACCGCACCGGCAGCGAAGACACCGAAAAAGAAACCCAGGAAGCTGAACAAGGAGCCCACATCAACATCTACAGATGCAGCAAAGCCTACTACCGCAAGTAAAGCGCCAGCAGATGTACCATCGCCCTCCGAACTCGAAGCGCTTAAGTCTCGTGTCAGAGGCCTAGAAGCCAAAGTAGAAGAGCTTTACAAAGCCGGTGCGATTCCCGACTCACGACCTGGCCGCTCCCCTCGCCGACGAGGAAAAGGGCGAAAAGCCTCGTCTACAGCGCAGGTCCCCACACTTAGTACTACAGCCAATGACAGCGATTCTCGGGTCCAGGAACTCGCCGACGACGAAGAGGAGGAAGCAGATGAAGAACTTGTGCGTCTTGAAGGCGAGTTGGAGGTGGCACGACAGGATCTGGAACACTTCAATCCCCGCAGTCAAGGAGCAAAAAGAGGCGGAACAGAATACGTCGAGGAGATCGACAGGGACGCACCAAGGGCAAGTGCAGGTACAGACAGACAAGTCACCCTATCCGGAAGCTACCGCATCCCCATCCCGGCCAACGTCAACCTCGAAGACGTCAAAACGATCAAATCAGGTGTCTCAGCCGCCCAAAACGTAGCGCGTTCTTTCCTCGAGCAACGACGCGCCGCCGCTGCTGTACGCGCTACCGAGAACAACGCCTCTTCACCACAACAGCAGTCTAGCAGCAGAACTACCAAAGTCCCCGCTTCAAAATCTTCTTCTGCAACCACGCCGAAGCCAAAGAGGAGCATGAGCTCGACTATGGAAGTTGCCGTCGATAACAGCGATGGAAAGCAGAGCTGGAGTGAATGGATTGGCGGATATAGTATGGCGATTACGAGGGCAGTCAGCAAGATTGAACATGAGGCTGCTGTTGAGGCGCAGAGGGGTGGTGGAAGTGCGGCTACTAGTAGGCCTTCGGCAGGTGGGAGGAGGACGAGTGCGCCTACGTCTAAGAAGGCGGCTGGGAAGAGACCTGCTGCTAAGGCCACTTTGAGCGGAGAGCAGGTTCATGGACTGATGAGTTAAAGTATGAGGAGAACATATTGTGCGAAATAGAGGTTTGAAGATTAGGTGCGGGTGTTTTGGGTAGCATTAAAAAGCATAGGTGCAGTCGGAAGTAGTACCGCAAGCATGAAGAGTTCGTTCGATATTAGCACGGTTACGCTGTGATACGGTACCCATTACCCTGATTCTTCATATCTTTAGCACTCCAGTTTACTTATGAGCACCTCCCTCTGCTTCTGCTGCTGCATGTCCTACATGCTCGTTCTCATTCTCATTCGGACCGGGTGCAGCACCCTGAGCACCATCATCCACATGCTCGCGTTGCGCATCCTCGGTGGGAGGAGCTTCTTCCATCGGTACTTGTACTGTTGGATTTTGTGCGACTGCAGGGTGAGCTGGAGGAGGATGTTCTGCTGGCGCAGCAGCTTCTTCCGGAACCGGGTCTAAGAGCACCTCTCTCTGTGCCTCACCACCTGCGGCAGCGGATTTATGGGAAATCGAGGAATGACTGCTGCGGCTCTCCGTGCTACCCTTTGACGAGGAGGATGACCTAGAAGAGTGAGATTTGCCTGACTTCACGCTCTCTGCCTTCTCTTTCGCTGCAGGCTTGCTTGCTTCTGCTGCGACTGCGATTGCGACTGCAACATGTCGCGGAAGTTCAGAACTGCTACTACTATTTCCCGTACTTTTCCTTGATCCATACTCGGTGGCGGCATCCAGCCCGTGGAGGGCCATTCCAAACACTCCGCCCATCCTCCTTTTGGGCTTCTGACTCTTCCAGCTAGCAGTGGTGATCGGTTTACCTTTTCCACCAGCGAGCCAGAAAAGCGTAGACGGAACACGCTGGTGATCTCGTAGAGCGGAAGGTGAGCCGGCGCCGCCTCTAAGGCTGACAGTTGGAGGAAGTGTGACGGGCTGTATGGTATGACTCGCGGCGACGGCGGGAGTATCGATAGAAGGGCCTGTGAGGCGAGCAAAGATCGAGGCGAGACCGAACATTGGTGGACAAGAGAAGATCGAGCGTGGCTGCGGGTATGTAGCGGCAAAACTTGCTGTGCGCGAGGTTGGTAGATTCGCAATGTCTCCGCAGCCAGACGTGGATCTGTCCGTTCGTGGTGTCTCTTGACTTCCATCGCGTCTCGAGATACCTTTCGGAAGGCGAGATGTACCGTGTGCTCTCCTCAAAGCGCGTGCAACTTCGGCGATGTTGGGAGTCCTCGCTGGCGGCAAGTAATTATCGCTACCTGAATCAGTGCTATAACCATGACCAGGCCTGTGGCAAGTAAGTAGCAGTTGCTTCATCGTCAGACCACAGCTACGAGTATGGATGTTTTCGTCTCCTCCACTACCACCTCGCAACCTTGGCATTTCATCGTAAGCAGGACCTTCTTGAAAATCCGGTAGCTGGTCGTTTGTCTTGAAGTCATCTTCAGACTCTCTACGCCTCGTGCGACGGCGACTATCAGCTGACCGTCTCGAGGCCCGCGATTGCCGCCCTGATTGCTCTGGGGAGCGTCTAGGATATACACTACTATGGTACAGTTGTGCATCGATACTGGCTTGCTGCTCAGGGCGTGGTCGTTCAACGACAACATGTCCACCGGTTTCTAGATAGCCCTCAACGACCAGATTGCTACGCGACGGCTGCGACGACTGGCGTTGCTCTGCACTGTTAGTGAAGGCGGCTGAAAATTTCTGGCCATAGAAGACCGTCTCGGAGAAGTCTGTAGTCGGATCCGAAGTTTTCTTGCGACGAGCAGCGCGGGCGAAATCGATTAGCGGACTTGGGGCTCCAGCACGTATGGCATCCAAATGCTGCGATACTTCACTTTCCCGAACGTATGGGTAGTCCTTTGAGTTGCGTAAGTAACGATGATAATGTAATTTGGGGCTGATTGGCCTCACTTCGTTAGGCTCAAGAGCGCTTTGCGATCGCCGGGGAATATCTTCACTCCTGGTAGCACTTCTCTGCTGCAGCGCCGGATTGATAGCACCAGGTCGCGGCACAGGCAGTGCTGCTCTCCGCGGTGGGTTGCCTATCCTTTTCGCCGCGATTTCTGGAGGGACTATACGCGGGCATTCTTCGGAAGAAGGACTGTGCTGTGGACGAGAGCCTCGAACTGCTGGTTCCTCATTGACCTTACGACCCGGCTTCCGTCTGAAGGCTGATTTCATGTGCGAAATTGCGCTTTGGGACTGACATTCATTGCATGGTTCGCTAGAGGGCGACTTCGGCGGCCGCATGCCACAGAAATCGCAGCGTCGACGTTCCACACTGGGGAAAGAATGATATTCACTCGCATCGTATGGACAGGGCTGACCGGAATCAGACAGCGATGGTACCTGCAGTCGAATGACTGGAGGGGGTTGAGGAGCCTGCTGGTCAGCGCCAGCAACGCCTCGCTGCATTATGACTTCTTCTCCGAGTGACGTGCATGATCGTAGATTTGAACTGATATGCGGGCTTGATCTTCGTATGGGAAGGGCTGCCAGGATTGTATTGAAGCCGGAAGAAATGCGTCGCTTGAGGGTCCTTGGCCGCTCGGGTGGGACTATCGGTGAGTCTGGTTCAGAAATGAGCTTCGCTGGGTTTGGCATTTTCAGTAAATTGAGGCTATGGTTATGAGATATCTGGATAGCGAAGCGCAGGTTAAGAGCAAGCGAAGGTGTGATTTGAGAGCTTTCGTTACTTCCAAATGGCTCGAACGTCAGAGATCAGTGAACTGTGAAAGTCTCGATCTGGACCATAAGTTGGGCACCTTATGAATGGTAGAGCATTTGTGAATATTGACAGCAGCCATGACGTGGTGGAGTGAGGAACGTCTGCGAACGGTCTATTGGTGAACACAGTGGCAAACGTGAACAGGAGGACAACGCCGAAATACCAGCAACCGTGGTCTATACAAGATGTCGCACTCTCATATCTGATGAGATCGTGGCCGTGAAATGCTCCAGCTTGGTACGCGAGGGTAGCATTGCTTCCGGCTGCGACCAACGACATGCTGCCTACCCACAGCCGTTGACAACACTCTCGGTCTTAGTACCTTGAGAGGCGTCCCTCTTCAGGCCAGTCGTACATCTCTCGTAGGTGGTTTCGATCAGATGCGCGTTCTTGCCTCCAGCCATCGTCATCGTCGTTGTTGAAGTAGTCACAGTTGTAGTTGCGTGACGGGCCTGGGGAACAACCAGCGCACCTACCACGACGGTCGCCAACTTGATCTGTAAGAACTCCGCATATGCAGAGGACGTGAACTCGATTGCAGATTGTGAGTAGTGTGCCTGGGACGTACAGCGCATCGCTTACCCCGCATTTGAGACAAAATCTTGTGTGGGCCAAAATACCACTGCGACACCATTTGCCTTTTCTCATATCGTCGGCAAAGGCTTTCCAGTGGTGGAAGCGGATGCAGCCTTTGCAAGTATAAAGTTGTTTAGTCTTGGCCCAAGTAGTTCCTTCGGCGGCCAGAAACTCGGCATGCGTCGGTGTGGGTATGATGGATCTGAAATAGCGAGTTGTGAAAGCCAAGTTGGCTTTGTTGCTTAGGTCAAGGAGACTGATTATTTCCAGATGAAGCTCAACGGGTAGGCGAAGGAGGGGCGGAGAAGACATGGTGTGCACACGCTGTACGCGTCGGACGGGCTTTCGAAGTCGCTTCGTCTAAGACCAGCGCGTCAGTTGGTGTTATGTGAAGATCGGCGTCCAGCTTACGATTGATGCCTTCCAAGTGGCTGCGGATCTCTTCCCCGGCGCCCTTTGCTGCCTGTTGCGCGAAGTATACAGGACGCGAAGGATGGAAGCAAGTCGCAGACTCTGCTTTCTGTCGAGAGGACGTGCAATACACTCCTAGGACATGAGGATTGCAAGAGTGAGCAGGCTGTGAGCAAAATACAATATACGCCTCTTGTGTAATGCCAAAGTCACACGGACCTCCAAGCCCGCGCATCCCTAGGTTCCCCAGGCACGACCAATGGTGGAGCCCATTGTCCGCGGCAGTGTTGCCGTGTTCCGCCAGTTGCCTCCCTTGGTATGTTACACGACTTCAGGGTCCGGAAATTGCGATGGGGTGTTCTTTCCCGTTTGTCAGCCACACCGTATACGTAGCACATTATCGCCTCAGCATGGTCCTACTGGAGTTCGGACTAGAGATCTCGATGGCTACAATAGATTCCCGGCGCGCCTCCCGACACCACTGCGACTATTCCTTCTTCAAATCGTTGAGAACCATGTAGCGCGACAGGGAGATCCAGCCCCAACGAAACCAGCGCATCTGGCTTTCGTGTGCCGTGGTCATGGCTTTCTGGGCAGTCCTGTAACCGACCGGTGAGCTGACGAACAGGAGTGGAGTCGGAAAGCCTCCGAGCTCTTTCTTGCGGAGTATTGCGCCAATAATTGTAGCTGGTGCGTCCAACAAGCTAAGATATTTGCGGAATATGGAGGTAGTGGTGAGGGTGTACAGCTTGACAGGGCACTCCCACCCGCTGTGTCGGTGCATGAGCGCCTTCAAGAAGGTATGCGCTCCGTCGTGGAGCGACTTGTGATTGGGATGGCCGGAGACGCCGTGTGCGTCAAAGGTGATTATGGTGTCGACAGTCGCCTGCGGTGCCTCCTTGGAAGAGATCGAGGTCATGTTTGGGGCGAAGGCGGTGGTGAGTAGGTTGGAGATTAGACGAGGGTGCCATGTTACTGTCATGGAATCGGGGAAGTTCCTGGGCCATAGTCAGTATGTTGCAGTCGGACGTGCATGTCGATGCGTACTTGTCTTCCACCACGAGAATGTCCTCCTTGCTTCCGATTCCCAGCTGCAGCCCACTCTTGACCAGCTCTTTCTTGCGGAATTCGCCAAGCCCATCGGCATCGCCTGTTGCACGAATGAGATGAGTGATTGCCTCTGAGAGCACTGGGGATGTGTGAAGGCCATACCGCTACTGAGGCACAATATCTTGACGTGATTTCCGCGTTCCGGACGCGTCAATGCCAGTAAAGTCGGCGCAAAGAACATGGCCTCATCGTCAGGATGCGCGATCAGCAATAGGATGCGTTTGTTTTGTAATGTGGGGAAGGACGCGCCGAGGGTGCTGGTGTACATCCAGAAAACAAAGATGAGGACAGGCACCGATGCCCACACAGTCCAATTCATGGTCAGCAAGCGCATATAAGGCGTAAGTTCGATTTGGTGTTTGCTACTGTATTGCTGCTATGTACCTGCGTCAGGAGAGGTAGCGCGTTCGCATGAAGCCATTGAGGTTCTGGAACGAGCTTTGACCCACGTCATCTTCGAGATCCCTTAGAGCTGCACGCGACGTGTCCCAACCCTACCACCACACTCCCCAGATCCACATCACCATGTCGTCCGGCAACAGGAAAGAGCGACGCGCCAAGGAGTCCAAGATAAGCGCAAATGGCAAGGGAAGCGGCTTCCAGCCCACCAACGAGATCGATGAAGATGGCGTCGAAATGATCCTCAAGCATCCCGACTTCTCCAAGCCAACGGGCAAGACACTTTTCGACTTGGCCGAAGAGAGGCAGCGAGAGCTAGACAAGATAAACGGCAGAACGCGAGTTGTCAAAGTACCAGTAACATCTACACCCGCATCGCCCGACGATGTTCCTCCGATCGGCCCCCTCGGGGACTCCATTCTCTACTCCATCTCCATGGCAGTCCTCCACCTCACCCTCGACGTCCTCGTATACAGCCAATACCGGGAGGACATACTGTGGAACGAGATCTTGTGGCGCGCTTTTACAGCGTGGCCCATATTCATCCTAGCAGTCTACCTCACCCACGTCGACTTTTCATACCGATTTCCCATACTCAGAGACGCTACATTCTTTGGAGGCTCTGTCGTGGCGGGGTGCTATCTCATATACTCGGGCAATAAGCATGGCTACTTCTACGTCATGAAGTCAGCTCCTCCAGTCGGTACGCTTTGGATCTGGAGCGTTGTGGAGATGAGTCTGCCTTTTGCAGTCACGAGCGTGGCCGCTGTACTCGGCTACATCTGGTGGAATGGTTTCGACTTCTTCTAGAGCTATAGCATGCACGTCTGGTATCATATGGCACGAGCCGTACCCGCTACTGCCTACGACTGGGTGTTCAGACATGTATGCAGCTGGCCAACAAAGCGGGATACCCAAAATGCGTCCTGACACCTCATTCCAGGAAAAGACAGAACACCCTAGAGCCTACATTGACGATTATTTGCCTTCTTCGCACGTTTCTATCTTGATGTAGGCTGCAGACCTGTTCAAGGTTTTCCTGCATGAGGTGCTGACGTGAGAGCCTGAATGTTGCTCAGCCGCAAACGATACACATCCCAAACCCCGCTTCTGTATCCGACACTCGAAGCTCGAAACCCAATGCTTCACTCACTACGCCATCGCGAAAAATTATAGAAGTATAGTTCTCGGCGTCGACTTCTTATTGCCTCTCGACTATCATCCGGTCTTGGTCGCAGTGCACAGTCGTCTACTGGCGACTTGTCAAACGCACCGCCAGCTCGTGCCCCGCTATCGTCATTGGGGTTTCTGAACATGTTCACTCCTCGTGTCAGAAGATCTTCTGTACCGATCGCACCTACAATCCCGATCATTCCTACAATCCCAATCCCACCTACAATCTCATTCACACCTGCCAGAAGATCATCTGTACCAATCACACCTACAATCCCAATTACACCTGCCAGAAGATATTCGATACAAATCGCACCCGCAATCCCAATCACACCTACAATCGATTTTCAGCACATTAAGTGTTGGCGTCAAGCTTGTCGTGCAACACACGGCGCTTGCTGCAACAACGACTACTCGGAGATCTTGGCAGAGCACATCAAAGAACTTATACTAGTCGACGTGAACAGTGGCTCACTTGTCATTCTACCCACATTGCCCCCAATCACCTACGTCGCTCTTTCGTATGTGTGGGGCAATGCGCCCATGTTTAAGACTACAACGAACAACATCAATGTTTTGCTGCAGCCAGGAGCTTTGAACGAGCCGTTGAAAAACGTAGTCCTTCCTGACACGATTCGGGATGCCATTCATGTAGTCAAGAATCTAGGCGAGCGGTATCTGTGGGTGGATTGCCTATCCATTGTTCAGGATGCAGGCTCGGAGGAGATGGACATCACGTTGCGGGCTATGGCTCGTATATACGCAAGTGCTAATCTCACCATCGTTGCAGCCGGTGGTGGAGATGCGGGACACGGTTTGAGGGGCATTGGGGGTCCCTCGACGAATCGAATTCCTGGTCCTGGTTCGCCCCCTCGCCCATGGCATTTGTACCCAGAAGGTTTGAAATGGGCGACTAGGGGCTGGACGTTTCAGGAATCACTGTTCTCGCGCCGTCTCCTTATCTTCACAGAAACTGTATCGTGGATGTGTGGACGCTGTGCATGGGCAGAAGGCACTAACGAGTTCACATTCCTAAGAGACATCTACGACCCCGACGGAATCAGGCCTGTGAGAGCATCAGACATGCCATGGCCAGCGGAGCGCCCGCATCTCGGCGTCCCAATGGGACTGATGTCCTTGATCCCTAAAACACCATCTCTTGGTCGATGGGGAATGCTTGTGGAAGATTTCTCTTCACGGGATCTTACTTATGAGAAAGACGCCAAGTCAGCATTCGCGGGTGCTACTGAAATTATGGACGCTACTTTCCCAGATGGTCTACTTCATGGCATGCCGAAGTTCTTCTTTGATATCGCATTGCTTTGGCGACCTAAGGAGTCGTATTGGCGACCCAAGAAGTCCGCAAGTAGGCGCGAAGGCGAACCTAGTTGGTCGTGGACGGGCTGGAAGAACGGGACCATAGACTGCCTGTCTGCTTGGTATCCCTTCTATGCCAGGATCTTTCGCGATACCGGCTTTGAATTCGATTGGGTCTGTATTGCGACCCTGAAACCTGTGGCAGAGTATTGGATAGCGAACGCGGTAGATGGAATCAGTTCACAGTTCAATGGTTTCTACCGATATCAAGCTCTTCGGGAAGACACTGAGGAAATACTTCCCACGGGATGGAGTCGACATCTCCACTCAGGAGGCGACTACTTTACGAATACTGCCTCTCCGCAAAGTACTAGATATCCGTTCCCACTCCCTACCATAGACTCAACCGAGCGAAGGCTACACGTTCCCTATTCTCCTGTTCTTCGCTGCCGAGCTCCGTGCGCAAACCTGACTTTTGGACGTACGATATATGACGACGATACGCACCGTGGGCTACGCAATGACAAGGAGACGATCGGTAATCTTACCATAATGTGCGATACCTTGAAAGATACATCTCAATATGGTAGTGCTTGTGAGCTTGTCGCTATCTCAGAAGCCATAACCTCGGAATCAGTGAACGTAGCAGAGGAGGGATGGCCTATCACGTCTTTCGAGAGGAGCCCGAAGACCATTGACAGACTTATGAGGAATTATGGTCTCTACCCGAAAGTATCTGTTTACAATGTCATGTGGATTCAGTGGGTTGGAGACGTCGCTGAAAGACGAGGATTAGGTGTTGTACTGAAAGATTCTTGGGACGCATTACAACCCGACATCAAAGAGTTCAATCTCGGTTGACCCACCATTATGATTTCGAACACCTACTTTTTCTTTTTGGGCTACCCTCTAATATTATCCTATGCTCGACCAATCCGCCCGGTCTATACTCACTCCTTCCTCAGTCCTCTCACCACAGTGCGAAGAACCAATGAAAATGCCATCAAAAATTATGCCAGAGACCGCCCACAGAGAGCCATCAGACAAGACCAGTCCCGCAATGGTGCCATGCAGCTGATCTAAGCCAGTCTATGCGAATGCGTGTGCTCGCCGACCCTAGCTGGTAAGTATGAAGAACAAAAATGGAAGCGATACGAGCTTATATAGACAATGCGTTCGGAAGATAGACAGGTTTAGTAGCAAGGCAGCAAGACGCATACATCACGTGACTGAGGATGCCTAGCAAGTCGGAGAGGATGGCGAGACGGATTCGATAGCGTACCCGGAGTCGTAGAGGCGTTCAATAGTGTAGGCAGAAGCTGACATGCATGGGAACGTGATCGTAGCAGCCTACTAGGCTTTGCTTCGCACTTCTTCGCACCACTTTATTTGGCTTGGGCATGCTTTGGCTCGTCCTTCTTAACCGAAAATAACATCTACTTGTTGTAGACCTGCACGTATCCCACGCTACTGTCCCTCCGCCAGCCTCAACGCTTCCATCCTACTCGTACTTTGTGGATCCAGATATGGCCGCTCACCCAAGCTGACCACTCTATACCCCTTCCGCGGTCCTTGACCATCGGTATCGTACGTCGCTGTATGGAGTACACTTCTGTTGTCCCAGATGGCCACGTCATTTGGGTTCTGCCATCTATGTCTGATCTGCAGATCATGGTTCTCGGTGATGAGCTGTAAGAACCAGGCTTTGGTACGCTCTGATTCCTCCGAACTCAGCTCATTGATACGCTGGACGTGGTGGCCAACGCTGTAGAGTGACTTCCATCCTGTGACGGGGTTCGTGCGGATGCAGGGGTGGATAGCGGTCAGAGAGTCGCCAGTGTTCTCCGGTGCGCCTCGCGCAGCAGTGTAAACGGGAAAGTTGTTTTCTTTCGCCGCTCGATTGAAGTCTGGTTGGGCGTATGTTGCGGTGAGAGATTCGAAGAACTTCTGATACGGTTTCGAGAGGCGGTCGTAAAGGTCGTACCCTGATGCCCATAGGGTATCTGAGTAATCTTAGTCTAGTCAACGGGGGTATGGTTACTTCTCGCACTCACCTCCACCTGACTTTGGTAGCTGCGTCATTCTCAGGATTGCATAGTCGCTTGGTACCGGCTCGAAAGTGATATCGCTGTGCCAACCATGCTTGCCAGTCTGTGACCGCTCCTTGAAGAGTTGCTTCGCCAAATCCGAGCTAATGACACTGATCTCATTGTCGTTGCCTCCAAGACGATTTCCCGCGTTTCTAACAGGATGAATGTGCAGCTTGGATGTTTTTGGTTTGCCAGAAAGCTCGCCGAGGCGCTGGGCCAGCTCTTTTTGAAGTTCATCATCCAAATCATCCTGCTTGCGGAAATAGACAACACCGCGCTGAGAAACTTTCCGAGATGTTATTGTTGAGTCATTGGAAAAACAGTGAGTGTGGCTTACTTGTAATTGCCAGGTCGC